CTGGCAAAGCAAAGCCCCGGATTCGATCCCCAGCTCTGCATAAACCAGGAGGGATGGTACAACCTGCCATGCCAGCACTCAGGAGGCAGAACCAAGAGGACTGAGAGTTGAACATTCTCTAAGCTACACAATGAATTTGAAGCCAGCCTGGGCCACATATGACCCTGTCTCCAAAACAGAAAAGAAGAAGTTAGAGGGGAAAGGGAGAAGAAGGAAGTGGAAAAGGAGATGAAGTAAAAAGAAGAAAGAGAAGAAAGGAGAGGGGGAAGAGGGAGAAAAGGGGGAACAGGAAGAGATTGAAGAAAGAAGGAGGGAGATGAGGGTAGAAGGTGGCACAGAGGGCTGGGGCGACAGCTCAATGGCAGGGCACTGTGTACCACGTTCAAGTTCCTCCTTCTAACCCCAGAACCAAAAAACAAACAAACAAAAAAAGCATGATCCAGAAAACCGTGGATGAAAGGCTGAAGTGTAAATATTTTTTGTTGTTGTTGTTACTACTTAACTCCCTAAGATTAGGGCATGAAAGTAGTCAAGAAGGAGTATACAAAGGTGTGTGGCCCTGTGCCAATAAAACTTTATTTACAAAACCAGTAAATTTAGCACAAGCACCACAGTTTACTAACCCCTTTTGTAGAAAAAGACTTAGACTAAATGGAACTGACACAGTGGGTCAGGAGAGGGGTGAAGGGCAGGCAGTCTACACACGGCACACGGATAAAGAAAAAGCTTACCCCAGCTGGAGGGGGGTGCAGAACACTGGAAAGCCAGCCACAAGGGAAAATGCCTTCCTTGGGCAAGGACTCTGCCAGGCCTATGATGACCAACAGACAAGACAGCAAGAGTGTGACAATATGTCCCTAAGGAGGATAGCAGAACTAGAGGTCAAAAGTGAAGATGGGTTTAGAGTATATTGAGTGTTTATAGGCTAAAGAGAGAAGGGCTACGGGGGAGTGGGGGGAGTGTAAAAGATTCAGAACAAGGAGAGGAGGAAAAAGCAAGGCCTCTTCAGGCAAGTGTTAGAGACAATCCGTCATGATTGGAGCTATTTTTCATTGTTACAACTTAAGAGACAGTCGGGTACCACTGGCATCAAGTTAGCAGAGACCAAGGGTGTCCACTAAACACATCAACAAAGCCAGGACAGCCCCTACAATCCAGAATAAGCCCACCCCAAGTTTTGAAGCCTGCTTTGGGTCTAGCAAGATGGCTCAGCAGGTGATCCCTAAGACACATGTAAAGTTGGATAGAAAGAACTGACTTCAGAAGGTTGTTCTCTGGCCTCCACATGCATGCCTGACACATAGGAGCATACACAAACACACATGTGCACACAGCATGCACTCAGGCATGCATACATATACAAAATAAAATAATTTGAAAATTAATTTTAAATTAGAATAATTAATAAGGTAGAAAGCAACTTAGGAAGATACCTGGTATTGGCCTCACTCACATCCACTCACCCACATGAACACATACACACACACACACACACACACACACACACCCCTCCAAAGGTAACCCAACAGATACCCCTAAAGCTCAGAAGGTTCCAATTGTTGCCATTGCACCCTGCCTTGTCCTTAACTTCACAGTCCTCAGAGGACTATCTCGGCTCAGAGCCAGCCTGATCAAAGAAGAAATGGAAGAGCTACCCACCGCTTAGCTGAGCCCAGCTACCAAGAGTCCACTGAAAGATGAACTGAGTACCCCGCCCTTAGGGACACCTCCCCCAAAAAAGACCCATTCCTTTCTTAAACACCACATAGGTCCTCATCACCACCGCCACCCCCCAATCCCAAGCATGATGGACCTTACAGATTCAAGTTCTAGAAAGTTCCTTGCCCCACACCAAGCCTCTAAGAGGCATCAGGACTAGTTTATTTAACAGAATTTTGTTAACGATTACCCCAAAGCAGGGGCGGGAGCTTCCAACCCAAAAGAGCAAGTGTTTGTTAAGAAATCCAGTACAAGGGCAAGCGAGATGGGTAACGGCACTTGCTGCCAAGCCTCATGACCTGCATCCAATTTACAGGACCCAGACTGGAAAGAGGGAACCGACTCCAGAGAGCTGTCCTCTGACCCCCACACTCAAGCTGTGATATACACATGTTGGCCCCACATATACACAATTATAATAAATAAAATTAAATTTCAAAAAAAGGAAACAAAAGAGCCGGACATAATGGCGTGACTTTAATCTTCACACTTTTGGGGCAGAGGCAGGCAGGTCTCTGAGTTAGAGAGCACCCTGGTCTACACAGGGAGTTCAAGACTACACAGTAAAACCCTGTCTCAAGATGAGTAATTAATTAATTAATTAATTTGATTAAAAAGAAAAGAAACAAAGAAACCCAGTAGACAGGCAGGGAACTGCCGCCCTGGCCAAGTGGCCTGTCGGCAGCCTTTATGAACCTGTCCTTTCTTCTCATGCAGAAACAGATGGCTACTGCTTTGAAGGCATGCGACAAGGACTCACAGAGATCATATTTACAAAGTATGGGGATTTTCCAGGAAATAAAGGATTTTTGTTATTCTTGTTGTTTGAGACAGGATCTCCTATAGCCCAGGCTGGCCTCGAACTCACTACCTCTGCCAGGATGACCTTGAACTCCTGATCCTCCGCCTCCACCTTCAGAGTCCAGTGACAACCTGTACGACTCCACATCTGGTTTACGCATGTTTAGAAATGAAACACCGGGGCTTCGTGCATGCTTGGGAAGCACATGCTAAGCAAGGGAGTGCCCTAATGGTACACACTTAACTGCATAGACTCCAATGTCTTCGTACCTGTATGCTATTGCAGAAAAAATACCTATATGTACCTGCAATGCACTAGGCACTACTCAGGCTCTGACATCAGTGAGGAACAAATACAAGGCCCTGTCCTTGTGAACACTGCCTGTGTACAAAGCCAGAGAAGCTCCATTTCCTGAGCACAGGAAGTACAGGCACAGATGAACAATTACCAAAAACGCAAAAACAGAACTCAAGGAACCAACTTGTGTGCCCAAGTGCACAGCGCTACACACACAAAGTAAGCCTACTTCCTTAAGGCAATTCCAAGGAGCCTCTGGGAGCAGCATAGGTGATCCCAGGAGCCTTGGGAAACAGCATAGAGGATCCCAAGGGCCTTGGGGAGCAAGATCGATGATCCCAAGAGCCTTGGGGAGCAGCATAGGTGATCCCAAAGAGCCGCAGGGAGTAGCATAGGTGTTAACAATTCTTGAATTTTCTTAATAAAAATCCAAACCATGGGCTGGGGAGATAGTTCAGTAAGTAAAAGTGCTTGCTGCTCAAGCATAAGGACTGGAGTTCAAATCCCCAACACCCGCATAAAAGCCAGCCCTTCAACACACATCTGTAACCCTAGTGATAAAAGAGGTGAGTGCAGGAGGAACCAGGGGCTCTCTGGCTAGTCAGCATAGCCAAATCTGCAAAGTCTAGGTTCATTGAGAGACCCTGTCTCAAAACATAAGGTTGAGGGTGACAGAGGCAAACACCTGGTGTCAACCTAGGGCCTCTGCAAACACACACACACAGGCACACTCATGCACACACACACACACGCCAATGGCCACTCTTCATTGAGCATCTCTGTATACTAGATCCAGATCTTCGGGGTCTCAAAGACATTAACTGGGTTAGCAGGTGACCCACTCAACAAACTCAGTCCAAACTGTTCAAGAATCTTGTGTGCATGCACACACGTGCACGGGCACACACATACACACCTCCCTCATTCACAAACTGCAGTTCCTCCCCTCACTGACTCCAAATGAACTGCTTTTCCTTCCTTCCTTGACCCCTTCCTCACTGTAATTAATTTCCTTTTGCAGAGGAATCTGAGCCAGTAACTCAAAAGATATTTTTCATTGCATGTGTTTTCAAACAGATCTAACATTGCCTGGGCTGGCCTCAAACTCAATATCTGGACTAGCCTTACACTCATCATCCTCCTACCTTGGCCATAACCAGACACAGAAAGCTAGTAAGGGCGACCTCAGAACACGTGAAGTAACACATCCTAAACATGCCTCACTTTAGCCCTCTCTGAAATGGGCGTGCAACAATTTTGGCCTCCAGGGGACACTGAGAGGTTCTAGAGAAATGAGCTAACGACCTGGAGGCTCATAATCATTCTAATTATAACCATCCCGAAAGCTGCCCCTACTGCTACTATGATTGCTGCGGGCCGAAGGTATGCAGAGTTTGCCACTAGACATCTGGAAGCAGAGAATTATAAACATAGCACCCAGGGGGCCGATTCTCCAACAAGTGTCCTCCATCAGTGAGGACACCCTGGCTTTGGCTTTAAACTTTTTAGGTGTTTGGCTTCCTAAATCTGTTGTAACCCTACTTTTTAAGGCGACCCCAAAGAGCACGGGGTGGGAGGGCAGGTTTGGGTTCAGAGAAAAGAGCAAACACGGTTGAGAGGCACAATGGGGACAGACACCCAAAGGCTGGGCGGGCACTAGGGCAAGGTTCCTCAGACCCGAGTTGGGTACACGCGGGGTGCAGAGCCACAAGTCCAGCGGGCAAAGGCCAAGGTCAGCTGGCTTCTGCAGGGCCAGAGCCACCAAATCCATTATTACCCCTTCCCCAGGGGAAAGACGATCAGTCTTTAGGTAGAGGACTCTACACAGATTAAGGGCGTCCTCAACCCTCAGTCCTTGGGGAAGGAGCTCTAAGTTGGCCCCGGGAGGGGGGGGGGATGTCCACAACACTTAATCCTTAGTGGAGGATCTATAGGTCTATATTGCTGGAATGGTGAGATGGGTGTCCGTAACCCTGGGTTCTTTGGGGGGGCGGGTGACTCTAATTTGTCTGGAGCGATGGAAGTGGTGTCCCCAACACTCAGTCCAAGGGAAGAGTTCTCTAGGTTGGCTGCCGCGGTGGGGAGGGGTGTCCCTGACCCTCACTCCTTACGGTGGGGGCTCCAAGTTGTCTGGCGCGATGGGGGGAGTGTCCCCGACACACTGATTTCACCCCAGACTTACCCTCGCCGGGGTACAGGTGGCCGGCTGCGCCCACCAGCAACGCGGCCACGGCCACCAGCAACGGCAAGGTCTCACGTCGTTTCCCGGAGCCCATGGCTGTAGGAGCGCAGGGACCCCGGCGATCAGAGCACGCCACGCCGTCCCGCTGGGGACATAGTCCGCGAGGAGGTCGCCGGAGAGGCTCTAGGGGCCACGCGCCCGTCTCTTCCACGCCGGTGGCTCGCGGGCCGCAGCTCTCCAGGCGAGAGGGCCCTGGGGACAGCCCCGGGAAGAGCACAGAGGCCTCAGCTTCAACCAACGAGGTGGCGCGGCCCGCAGACTACGGCCCCGGGTCACCCAGGCCCGGTCCCGTGCCTGCAATCGCAGGGTCCAGAGCTCACCGCCGTGCGCCCCCTTTCCAGGCCTCCTGTTTCTTCGCCCGGTGCAGCTCTGGGTGGGTCGCGTTCTGTGGAGTCTGAAACAGAGGGACGCGCGAACGGGCGGGCACCTGGGCTGGTGGCGGCGGCGGGAGCGAGGGCTCGACTCCGGCCCGTAAACAACGCGGCCCGTCAGCTGGGCCCCGCGCGGGCCGAGGGAAAAGGTGGCGCGGATTGAAGCTGGGAAGGGACTGTGCGCTCAAGTGAGGCCCGCGGAGGGGGGGGGGGCAAGTCAGCAGAGCGCCGGGAGGCGTGGCCAGAGCTTGCAATGCCACGCCTCCTCGCCTCCCCGTGTGGCGCCCCCAACTTTGGAGGCCCGGGGCGCACCTCAGATTCTCCCAACTCAGACACCCTAAACTGCCTATTTTAAAAAGGCTACGACTTAAAAGCTTGGAAATGTCCCCAGATATTAGTCTGACATGAATATCCTAAACAGCTCTGTGTCTCCCACGTCAGATCTCGGGAGCTGCCCAGCTCCGCGCCTGACTCGAAAGCCCCCAAATAGCCCCGAGGTTCCAATTTAAATACCTGGGGTGCCCCAAATCCTCGCCCGACTCGAACATCAATAAACAGACCTGAGGTTCCAATATAAAAGCTAGGAACGTCCCAGATCCTCTTCTGATCGCAACAAACCCAAATAACACCAAGGTTCCAATTTAAAGGTCTGGAGAATGCTCCGTATCTCCGCCTGATCCGGATACCCTAAACAGGCCCGAAATAACTATTTAAAAGCCTGGAAATGCCCCCAATTTCCTCCGGACATGAACATCCCAAGCAGCTCTAAGACCCCAATATCTTACTCTAACGCCCTCCCAAATATCCCTATGACTTCGATCGCAACATGGAAGCCCTCTAAGGTGCCCCCAGATGCAAGACTCAACCAAACAGACCCTGTCTTTACATTTTTCACTATTTTGGTCTCCTATGAAGAATTCACTTTAATTCTTTACTCCTGACGGTTTTTTTTTTTCTTTGCAGCCTCTAGGATTAATGCCTCGCTGGATTTCTCCTGTTGTGGATCTCTCTAGGAGCTAGTGGGCGCCCCACAAGTTCCCTCCCCAATGAGCTTCCTCCCAGCAGCGTGACCCACACCAACTTCCAGGACACAGCCACGTGTCCACAACGCCGGCTGCCTGTGTTCCCTGGCCTGAGCCCCTCTCTACGCAGCACTGGATCCCAGGGAAAAACAATAAAGAAAATGACTCCTAGAAGAACATAGCAAGACTTCTAGGGAAACTCTGGAAACTACATATAGGACCGGGATAGCTGTATTCCATTTTCAACATGCATACCTGTAGGTGGCTGTATAAATGTCTAAAAATATTAGTCAATCACTAACAGTCCTGCTCAACCACCTTCAGTCTAGCCCTGTCTGGACATTTGAAATATGTGAAGTCCGGAGGCCTCTATCCTTCACTTCCGGTGTCCATTCTGGGAGATTACCACCATATCTGGAGCTGATGGTCTATGCAATGGGTTTAACAATATCTGTGAAAAGCAAAAATAAAAATAAAATAGCAAGCAATTGAAGACACTCAAGATCAACTTTTGGCAGACAGAGAGAGAGAGAGAGAGAGAGAGAGAGAGAGAGAGAGAGAGAAGAAGAAGAAGAAGAAGAAGAAGAAGAAGAAGAAGAAGAAGAAGAAGAAGAAGAAGAAGAAGAAGAAGAAGAAGAAGAAGAAGAAGAAGATCTGGAGTTTGAACTTAGCCTGGAGCACATGAGATCTGTCTTTAAAATAAAAACAAAACAGTTGGGCCGACAAGATGACTCAGCAGGTAAAGGCACTTGTTGCCAACTCTGAAGACCCGAGTTCAATCATCCGAAGGTCCCACAGGGTATGCACACACATACTAAGTAAATAAATAAATGTAAGTACTTTCAAAATTACTTTTAAGTGGTGGCCTCGAGCTGTGGTTCCTTAGTAGATAGAGCACTTGCTCAGCTTACAGGAGACCCTGGACCAAAAAACAGAACCCTTACTAGGAGCTGGGATCATGGCTCTTGCATTATGCAAATGCACTCCTTCCTTAAAGCCTTATGCCATTTTGCCTCTACTGTCACCCCTCCTCCCTGAGTCTCCGCTCCAATGAGCATCCTCCCCTGACTACAGTTTGCAAATGCCCTTCAGTCCCTGTGCTCCCTCCCCCAGTCCTTTCCATCATGTGCCTATCCCTCCGTGACATTTTTATTTATTATCTTGCGTGTCATTGCTTATCAGTCTGCCCCGCACACCGTGCCTGACATACATATTTGCTGATAAATATTTGTTCAGAGGAAGAATCAACAAGCCCCTTGTAATAAGGGATTCTCAGTAAACAAAATCAACATGGTATGTTTCCTTGTAGACTGCATGTAGGTCCTGTGTTACATGTCGAGGCAGGGAGTAGATATAAAAGTATCTGCCGAGGAAATGCTTGGAAGCTGAGCTCTGAAGAGAAGGATGCCAGCCAAGAGATGCTGGGAAATAATATCCTCATGGAGTGAGGGGCTTATGCGGTGGCCGTGGGGCTTTCGGGGGCTGTGGGTACAGAGAGAGGAGAGGAGAACTTGATGCCATGGGTGGGAATGAGAAGATGCAGATGCTCAACCACCACATCAGGATGTGCTTGATTTGTGTGTTTATGTGGACATCTGTGCACTTGTGAAGGTAGCATGTGTGGGTATGCATGTGCAAGCGCACCTGTGCTTCTAGAGGCCACACAGGTGAGCACTGGGCGTCTCCCTACATCAGTCTACAAGCCTTTTTTTTTTTTTTTTTTTTTTTTGAGACAGGGTCTCTTGCAGAGCCTGTAACACCAGTGAGCCAGCAAGCCTTGGGGATACTTGCATCTCTGCCTTCCAAACTCTGGGATCACTGGTTTGGACCACAGTCTGTGCACCAGTTTTCTATATGAGTCTGTATGAGTTCTGGGGACCTCAACTCAGCACTTCATTCTTGAAAGGCCAGCACTATACAACTCAGCCATTTCTGTAGAGACCGGTTTGTACTTTTGTTGTTTTCATTCTTTCTTTTTGTTTTGTTTGTTCATTTTTGAGACAAAGTCCCACTGGATAGCCTGGGTTAACCACCTGCCTCTGCCTCCCAGGGTTCGGGACTAACCACCACATCCAACCTTAATTTTATTTGCGGGGCTGGGAAAGAGCATGAGCAGATGCCAAGACTAGAAGAGACTAGGAGAGGAGTGGTGTCCCCTGGGGTCAGGAACCAGGAAGGTGGCTCAATGGGTAAAGGTATTTGCTGACGAGCTGGACAACCTGAACTCAGTCCTCAGGACTCATATAGTAAAAGGAAAGCTGACTCCCACAAGTTGCCCTCTGACCAACACACACACACACACACACACACACACACACACTAATTGACACTAACACCAGGTGGGCACCAAAAGCTGAAAGCAGCATACTACGAGTATGAACCAGTACTTTCCAGAAACAGCCAGTCTGCAGATGACTTGACCTTAGTCAGTGAGGACACTGCAGTGTTGGAATGATAGATCATGAGCCATACTGATCTTTGACTGTCCTAGATCCTGAATAATCATCTAGCTTAACTTCTGCCCCTGACCCAAGTAACAGATAAACTTTAAATGATAAGCCATTATTAGCACATCTCCGGCTTCCACCTACCCTAAGGCTAAGAATACTGTAGACCGCCTTGCACCCAACAAGATTTCATTTTGTTATTGGGGACTGATTATCTGATGTTACCCCTAATGTAACTGGTACACACACACAGTAACTGACAGCTTGTTTCTCTTTGTGCCCACATCAATGCTCATGCAAGGGTTGCAGAGTTGCCTCGATGGGTAAAAGCTGGCTGAACAAACGTGTACACCTGAGTTTGGATCCCTAGAACCCACATAAATACGAATGAAGTAGGGTGCCCATCTATTATCCAGCGGAGTGTCCACCTATTATCCTAACATATCCACAAGGCGACGGGAAGTGGAGGCTGAAAAATCACTCAGAAAGGCAAAGGACGGCTAAACTGGCACCTTCAGTGATAAACAAGAAACGGTCACGTAAGGTGGAAGGGGAGGATCAACAGCAGAGGTTGTTCTCTGTCCTCCACATATGCACAGTGGCACATGTGGTCACTCTTCTCTTTCAGAGCTGTTGCTTTGGGCCAAAGCTGGAGCTCAGCTGGTAGAGCGACTGTGGAGCATCCAGGAAACCCTGGGTCCCATCCTAGCAACTCTACCCTGGGGATGGGATGTACACTGTTGACATCAGTACTGAGGAGGTGGCGGCAGGAAGACCAGGAGTTCAAGGTTATCCTTCACTATGCAGCAAGTCTGAGGTCAGACTCAAAACAAAAACAACAACAACAACAAAAGAGCTGAGCCTGGTGATTTGTCATTCCAGCTCCTGAGGAAGCTGGGGCAGGAGGATTGAAGTTCAAGGACTACATGGGCTTCAGAGCAAGTGCAAAGCCGACATGGGAAGCTTAGTGAAGCCCTGTCCCCAAAGAAAAAATGAAAAGAGGGCTAGGAGTCCCATGGGTCAGTCACTGAGATGGAAGGAGAGTGTTAGCATCTTGTAATCTCGCTGGTGACCGATTCAGAAGACCTGTGTGCGAGGGCTAACGGCAATGGCATCATCCTTGCTCCTCTGTCTGCAACATGCAACCAACGGCTTGGCTTTGTGCTGAGAGTTGCATCATTGGGAGATTTTTGTCCTTGTGCAAACGTCACAGAGTATATTTGTACAAACTCAGATAGTACAGCCTGGGGTGTATGGTGCAGCCTGTCATTACTAGGCAACAAGCTTCAAAACACTGTACACCAAACACTCTCTACTAACGCAACACTATGCTGAGTGCTGTATCCAAACAGTAAACACGCACGACAGAGAACATTAAAAAAACAACAACAACAACAAAAAGTGGCTCACTGAGTAAAGCACTGGCTGAGCAAGGGCAAGGATCTGAGTTCAGATCACCCGCATGAAAGCTGGGCATGGCAGCATGTTCCTGTCACCCAGCGCTGGGGGAGAGGAGAAGTGGGTCCAGGGCTTGCTGGTCCTCTTATCAGGCTCCTTTGACCTTTCTCAGTCTGGTTTATTTCACTTAACACAATGATTTACAGTCCGATCTATTTCAATGCAAATGTCACAAATTCAGGGTTTGTCTGTTCTGTTTTTAATATGACAGAATAAGATTGTATTGTCTACGAAGAGAAGGTTTGTTTAACCAAG